ATGACTGTTTATATGTTTGCATGTTCTACTTCGATGAAAATGAGGGCAAGTCTACCTCGAGTAAATGAGTCCAGATTAGAGTGAGACTAGGAGAAGTTAGAAAGAAAAAAGAAATGCCTTGCGCGACTCGTGCGTGGCACGCGCTTCAACACGCTTTTCTGACTGCGTGCACCACATGTCACAACCGCTCATCTACGATCTTACTCGAGAAGAGCAGTAGAACATTCACATGTTCCGTATAAACGACACTGCTTCACCCGGAATTCTTGACTTTCAGAAATCGCGCATCGCATTAAGCGCTAGAGCAAAAAATCCTTCCAAGAGCGTAGCTGCCATTATATTTATATTGGAAATGTTGTTCTAGTTTGATTGTATTATAGATAATTGCGCATCGGGGCGGATGTGCAGGAAAGCACTGACTTGTACATTGGTCGGCCACCGCAAGTCATTGAATTTGCCACACTCGCATTCAAGGCACCACTACGATTCTGAATGGAAATCAAATGCGCGGGATCCTCCTGGCAGAATTGATTAACGCTCCAAAACATTATTTAATTGCGCATCAGAGATATAATGGAAAACAGTCAGCGGAGTGTTCGACGATGCCTGATACCAACAGATGCCCATGTAAAACCTTTCCCACCCTACATTCTCTCTTCTCTAAAAATTGGTTAGCGTGTGATCTGCTTCCCCACCGCGCTCACGTGATCTCCACGCTCTTTATCGTGCCTACGTGGCTGTTGCGAATACACACAAACGGGCATACAAACAGACACGCAAAGTTAGTGCTTTATATATAGAGTATTTCACACTACGAGTGCTGAAGCCGCTGACAAGGAAAGGATACCAGATCGCAGTGGCCATTTAAGATGAGATGTATGCCGACGTGGGCAGTTTCGAACGCTGATCTCGAGACTGGGAACGATCCTGGGAACAAAACTACGGACCCCCTTTCCCCACGCGTCAAGTCTTTTTTTTTGCTTTTATACGAGAACCAACACTGTGCAAGCGTGCAGTGATGGCGCAGTTGGGAAGGCGGCGGGCTGGTAGACGTGATAGGGAGGTTCGAGTCTTTGATGACTGCGCTTGTTTTGCTTTTTTATAAAAAGTGACTTAAACGCTTGCAAAACCCCTTTACAAACCACTTACAGCCCTCCTTTACATTTGCGGAGCGCTGAAAACGCTGATACGAGTGAATTTTTTCATCAGCTCCACAGAACGAATAGAGAGGCACACAGAACCCTTCTGCACCTAAGGTCACAATACAACCCACGTGATGAGCAAAGAACTTATGCATGATTGGATTAGATCGTGCGTTGCATCAACAGATTTGCCTTTAACCCTCTGATTGTGGACCCATGGAGCTCGTTCGAGGACCATGAAGCGATTCAGGGTGCTTTGCCAACTGACAAGGAGTTGAAAACATTCCACTGAACGCAACTTCTCAAACTGAGCCTCTCGATATATGCTTTTCCCTCACTACTTAAAGCTAAGTGTTCATGATCTGGACTTCCACTTTAGCAACCGCAACTCCATGATTCCCCCTACCTCACTAGTGCACTTCTTGTTTAGCGCACCTTGATTCAAAAATTTCTTACTCATGCTTTGCATCAGGGGAATTGGATGGGGACCTGGGAGAATTTGGAAATACTGTAGGGTATTGGTTCTAAACTAAGCGGGAACATTGAGAGTTACGGGATGTGGTGAAATTTCTATCATGCGTTGCTCACACTGGAGAAGCTTTTCCACTTCAAACACTTTGTGTTGGCTTATCATATCTGTTCGTAAAATGCTCGCCTATTATTTCGATGGTAATTTTGCATAAAAATAACAGCTAAATTGCACCAGCTCACTTCTACCCGTAGAGGGGCATTACTTCATCGAAAAGCGCTATACCCTGACGAGTCATCCGACAGCCCTCCTTTGAAAGTGCATGAAATGGCTGAATTCCTTGACCACATTTTGAGTGCCAAGAGCGGAAGGGTTCCATGNGCACTCCTCCCTATTCGGTCTGTGGAGCTGACGAAAAAATTCACTTATATTAGCATTTCCAGTGCTCCGTAAATGTGAAGGAGGGCTGTAAATGGTTTATATGGTGCGCAAAAGGGTTTTGCAAGAGAGCAAGCGCATTCACCAAAGACTCGAACCTCCTTATCGCTTCTACCAGTCCGCCGCCCTCCCAACTGCGCCATCACTGAAGATTACTGTTGTAGCCATTTTCCCTCTTTAATGATGGTTTGGGCTAGAACCTCACCATCAGAGCGATATTGCAAATTTGGTAGAGAAAAATACAAAATTTAATCCGAACCTCTTCAAAAAGCGTCTTTCTAGAAGGATGCAGTTGAGGGTCAAAGATATTTCTAGGTATAAGATTTGTAAACTACGGCGCACAAAACTGCTCACGAATGTTAAATGACCGAGACTGGTGCTGAAGAAATGTTCGTGACCATATCCCACCTTACAATCCTTCTAAAATTTTCCGGACCACGATGTGATGGGTCACTGGATTTAGTCCATACTGGAGAGAGGCGCATGCGCCTCAATGCGCACCACTGTTACTGCTTCTAATTGTAAGAAATCGTTGAAAAAAGCCTGGGCTGGGGTTTTCCAAGAAACTATGCGTGACACCGTCGATGAGTAGACGAAGCGATTTCGAGCCATAACTAGTAAAGGAGACGGTTATAGAAGATGACCGTGTGTTTATTTTGTAGATGCGATGCATAGTAAATAGCTCACATAGATTCGTCATGTATCAGTATGAGCTGCTGTTGCTGTAGCCCAATTCTTTCGTTACCATATATATGGCGCACCCTGTATCAAGCTAGAAAAGAGCTTATAGAATAAGAATCTACATTTATTCATGGGCTATAGCTTGTGTAGATGATTACAAAAAAAGTATCCATAAGGTTGCAGCTTGATGTTTTGCTAACTGCTGTCATATCGCCGTAGTACACGTTCCGAAAGTCTCACAATGTTGGCGATTTGTGGACAAAACTTCAATCTCGGACGGGACTCGAACTCGATCTTGTACTTTCCGGGGACCGTTCTCTTATCCCTTACCTTGTCGCCAACCTTGTGAGACTTTCGGAGCGCGTACTGCGGCGATATATTAGCAATTAACAAAACATCAAGTCAAAACAAGTTCTACCATGTAAAGCTTACAGCTTAACGGTTCTGTGCTGATATTGGCTGTCCGGCTCAACACGTTGTAGTGTGAGTGCTGATAAGCTATGGCATATAAGCCATTAAGAAGGCGAGGGCAAGCGGGGACTCGGTAATGTAAGGGATAAGAGAACGGTCCCCGGTAAGTACAAGAACGGGTTCGAGTCCCGTCCGAGACCGAAGTTTTGTCCACGAATCGCCAGCTTTGCGAGATTCCGTTGCTGTTTACACAATGCTCGCGAAGAAGCATAATCTTGAAAAAAGAAGAGTTTGATCCTAGTAGTATACTTCTACCATACGAGATGCATTTTTGATAAATGCTAAGCCTATACATATGTCGCGCGAGAAATCGCAAAAGCCTAGCGTTAGTGCGGCTGACCCAGAGTATTAGAGTGGGTCCCTTAAAAAGGCCTTCCACTCATAGAACGTAGAACCGTTCACCAAATGCTTTGTTCACTGTGAAGGCACGAACACAACAAAAGATTTTAGCCGAGAGCACTGCATGAAAATGAGACTTCAAATGGGCAACGCTTGACGAGACCTTCACTGTTCCTTCCTCTTGACTACGCCCAACTTTGAATTGTACTTCTTACTTGGCAGTTTTATTGCTAGTCTGCATGATTTTGTTCTTTAAGCAAGCAATCCCAACGATAGCATCCAGAACTGAAAAATCAGCTCAACAATAAGCAGAGCATTACAAGTATTGTATTCTAGGTCCTCTTATGGGAAAGAGCTGATTATGTCCTCATGAAATTGTGGAAATCATGGACAAGTCCAAAATTGTTTTCGCAATATTATTCAGGAGACGGGAATTTCAGCGAGAATGTATTAGAGGTATTCCTTTCTTTTTTGAAGAACTTCAAATCGATCAGCAGAGATAATTGACCCCCATCACTAATGATCCCCTTCCACGTATACATACAACACGCGTTGAAGCCAGCTGTCCACTTTTCCACTGATGTGCTCCAGCTGAACATCGTACCGCAACCGCTCGCCATCAACGTCAACTGCCTTAAATTTTTCCCATTTTCATAACTCCTACGATGGTTTTCCGCAGGAATGGCCACTGTTCAGAATAGGATGGTCCTGCTTTTCACCACTTCCTAATGTATTTTCTATGCTCAATTCCTGGTTTATCCGTTTTTTGTTGTTCTAATAAAGGGCCTTTGCGAGGACCTGTAAATTCATCGTTCATAAGGCCTATTTTGACCAATACCAATTAACGTAGCGTTTTGATTCCAGGTACTCCATGTCAACCAAAAGGAAAGGAGGCAAGAAGGTTAGTGCATTTTTGTTAATTTTCCGTAGTAGTGCAAGGTTTCTCCTAGTCAACGCTCTTTTTGATGGTGCTACACTCAAATGGAAGAGCCGTTGAAACGAACCATTTATTTGGGAAGAATTCTCGCGACTTTCCTTTTTCGGGCTTATCATATATGACTATGGTCAGCTCTTTCTGAAAGTTATGGAATGTCATTCTCTTTTTGGTTAGGAACTGCGCTGTGTTGAAACACCTGAATTGTCTCGAAATGTTTACTCGGGAGGGAGGTTCTATTCAGAGGAAGTATGGGATGTTCGATTTCTCGTGTGTTAAGTGTTGTTCAAAGTTGATTTAATCGTTGTTACACCCTCACTTCTTGACAAAGGCCGGTCTGCTCGGTTTCATGCACCAGTGCTAGAGATTGTGGAGCTGACGTATTTTTTGCTAGTTAATTAACATTTGCTCAGTAAAACGTAGTCGAATATTGCTCTTTTCACTCATACCCCTCATTTTCAGTCTTTTTTCTTGATGAAAACTGGTAGATAGCAGTATTAGAATATCGATTGCTAACGCTTTGTGTATGAATGCAGATCGGCTCATTAAAAAGCTAGTTAAGGATCCAGTTGATGATGGTTCACTGTCAAAAGAGCAAGATGCTGTTGCTCGATATGTTCGTTTCAACTGTCCGACAAGTACAACGATGTTTCAAGGAAATGAAGTACACTACTTTTCAGGTAATCTAATTTATTCTTCGTACTACTGTTTCAAAATAACATCAGTCATTATTTCCAGGTTCAAAAGCTATTGACACTTTGATGGAGTCAAAGTATGGTTCAAAAGCTAAAAATGAAGCAGCCATGTTATTCCCCAATCGGTAGGTCCTTTCCGCTATGCCTTCACTTGTAAAGGTCCGGGTATAGTAATGATTTAGGCAGGCTGCAGTTAATTATATGCGTGAACTAATGGATCATCAACTGTTCTTTCATGCGCGAAAACTGGTGCCAAAGAAGAAAGAGGATAAGGAGAAAAAGGATAAGGGTAAACCGGCTTCTAATTAATTTTTCATCCATTCATTCCAGCTGCCCTCTTCAGATTCAGGGAAACTGGCGAAGCTTGATAAAGACGAAAAAAAAAAGAAAGATGACGAGACGGTAACTGAGACAGAGGCAGAAGACAAAAAGGACGAAAAGAAAGCGAAGGATTCGGACGAGAAAAAAACAAAGGCAACGATTTTTCCTTTTCTTTATTTCGTTTTTATCCATTTCCACACTGTTGTACAGAGATACTGACCATTTACATTGAAGACCCAGTTCGCGATAAAAATGGCTCCTAGGCCTTCTTCCTAGGACTACCCAGTGGTCCCCAAGGGTAATAAAAAGGATGCTGTCAGGAGAGAAAATTCAACGGACAGGGAATAATATGAGCCCCGTTACTGGGTTCGTCGACGTCCTCACCCATCGATCGATGGATGATATGTCAGACGCATGTCGAGACCATACTGGTTGTGCTATCTGCATTGGGACCCACACGTTCAGCATGCAAACAGCTGATCGCCGAGTGGTGAAAGCATGTTTGACTTTTATTCTGTTGTTCCCTGTTGATTTTTTTTGCGGCTGCGGTCATTTTTCTCGTTTTCTATCTAATGGGGATGAAAAAGGCGAATTATTTTTGCTGTTAATCGCGTTTTGGTTAAGTTATGCCAGTGATTTTGAATGTATTAAGAGAGCTGGAATGTGTTTTTGCTTACTTTCGTCAGCCGTGCGCAACGACACACGTTGTATATCTCGTGCTTTTTTGAAGCTCGCTATCTTCTAGGACCATCGACACTCACGCTTTCTGCGCCTCCATCGCACTATTTCCCACCCTCTCTTTCATTTTTCGTCATTATCTTGATATCCCAAAGTTATCGTGATCTGTGCCTTTAATAGGATTTTTCCAAGTTTTGTGATTGCACCCTTGATGCCTAATTTGTTTTTTCTCTTAATCCTTAGCTTTCAGGAAGAAGAAGACAAAAAGAAAAAGAAAAAGGTCAAGCTTGAGATACATGATGTGCAGGTATGTGTTCTGTTTCCATTCATTGTCAGTTGATCTTTTGCCCTTGGAACATAATAGATGCATGAAGTTACATCATTTTAGGTATTTAATGATGACAAAGATGTGTATGTGTGGGTGTTTGATCCAACGCCATTATATAAAAAGGTTATAGGACTGTGTATGGGTAAGTGTTATTCACGATGCTGTACTGTTTTATTCAGATTTTGCTTTATTAGAGTTGTTCGAACAATAATTCTAGCTTACCAGGGAAGGATCCCAAGTCGAAGCGGTTATTTGAAAGAAGGCTTGTACAGCTAGACAAGTTTTCGGACGCTGATCTTAAGTTTGCTTTGCAAATTTGCCGAATGCTGAAGAATTCCATGAACGGAGTCACGAAGGTGGTTTTAAGTGATCACTTAATATAGAGGAACACAAATGACGGATGTCCCGATTTCTCAGCTGTACCTTAGACCTAGACCTGTGGCGCTTAATGTGCGATATAAAATGGTTCGGATTTGTAGGAGCGAGGCTTTTGCTTTGTAGACGATCTTTCCCTTGGAACCTGAAGATTCCTTTAATGTCGACCTTATCGCATCTACGACATTTTTAGCTTTTATTGATATCTTAACAACCTAAGCAGAGTTCTTTCGATTTACACTTTGTTTATGTCCTCTATATTCAATGCAAGATAACTTTCATCACCTTATGATTATAGGTTGCAACGTCCTATAATCATAAGGTCCTAACGCAGAAGTTTAAAACGAATAAGTTGAACACAATAAGAAAAACTAGTGAACAAGATTTTTTTTACACCCTGTTCCTTCACAATGTCTTACCAAATCAAAAGGAAAACAGGATTGTGGATCGAAAAGACCCGGTTTGGAAGCTTGAGTAGCTCTCGGCTTCTCATGAATAAAAGAGAAGTTTTTTAAATCTAATAACACAGAAACTAAAGGAAACCGGTGATAGTAGGCAAAAAATTTGCTTTACTCTGAACGTGGGGTCGCATCCTGAGAATCCCAAGAGGTTGCTGATTTAGTAAAGCGCAGGAACATCTGGGTCTTACGAGTGTAGNAGTCTTGAGAGAGTGTAAAGCTGTATATGTATATGTTATGTAGCGGTCGAATCATGGCTGTGGGGATAGACAAGAAAGAGGGGTACCGGGGAATAATATCCGTGTGCGCTCCGAAAACAGGTTGCCCCGTGTCAGAAAAGGACAAGATCTATCGGGGCCTTGGCGATGCCATCAGACCAGATTCCTTTCAGACAGATTCCAGAATGGGGCTATCTTGTTGGGAGGTGATATGAAGGACCACCACGTCAGCAGTGAATGGAGTGTCGTAGAAAGGCCCACGGAGGTGGAGGAATAGTGGTGTAAATAATTCCTCCCGAAAATCGCGTCGCGCTCGCCGCATCAGATCGCGCGCTGTTGCGCGCTATGAAGGCAATGTTCTGAATTCTCAGTGCGAAGATACCGTAACCGCTGCGGAAGCACTACCGCTTACCGAGGGTATGCAGAGGAAAGTACCGCCACCCAAGAAATAGGAGCCAGAAAAGATGAAGAAGAGAGGGTCCTCGATCTGATGACATTCCAGAACCTGGCAGTATGCAACATTGACGAAAAGGACGGCCTAGAAATTAACCTACAGTGCAGGGAAAGAAACGGAAAGCGACCATGAGCTCGTTAGAATATGGTCGCTGGGAACCGTAAAAGTACTGCCTGGCGAAGAATTAGCCACAGCACAGTCCTGCCCTAGCGGGCATAGATATCGGTCGCGTAAAAGAGCAAGAACAAGGGCAGAGCGAAGAATTCGATCTCGGAGGCTGCATCAAGTAGAAAAAGTCGATCCCAAGCGAAAGAATCCAAAAGCTGGACTTCCGGACTCTCAGTGAACGGTCCATCCAATAGGGAACGACACAGTTAAGGTCTGCAATGTGCAAAAGAAACACTGGGTGAGACGCGAGTGGTTTCAAAGGAGACAAGGCGGCGTGGTTCTGCGACAAAGTCCAAAGAGTCGTAAAACAGAAGAAAGACGTTGGGGATAGACTAGAGCTCCAGAGACTTAGTTGCCCACAGAATTTGCAGGAGGCTTGTCAAGGTAGCCGTAGCGAAGTCAAAGAAAATATAAAGATACGTCTTTGACGAGATGCTCAATAGTCGAGAAGGAATGTAGTTCATCTTCCGACTGGCCAAGGCCAGATGGTAAAGAGTAGCGAAGATGCCATTCTAACAAACCCAACTGAGGTCAGCGCAGGTGGCAAGGATACTTCGGTAGGCTCTTCAACGTCGAATTCCATCGCATGGGTAGCTTCCATACAGAAGCGGCAGCTGCCCCCATTGCACTCTGGACAGAGAAGTGTCCGTTGAAAAATAGGGAACATGAAGGTTGGCAAAGCGACTGATCCGGATGGGTTGTTGAAAAGCTGGAAGGCGCGGAATTAGCTCACCCGATTTCAGATCACCGACCGAAGGAAGGATCTCAGATGTGAGGAAGAGCAGCACTATCCTTCCCGTCCTCAAGCCGAAGGGAGACGCGATGGAAAGTTGAAATTACCGAGGGTTCTAATGAAACTCAGACGGCTATTCGACGCAATTTGAGTTGAGTTGATTAACCGTTGAGGGAACCGATCCCGATCTCACAGTAGCCGCTCGGCTTCATGTCAGAAAGGTCTACCACGGCTGCCATCATCATTGCTGATGGAGAAGTATACAGAAAAACGTAGACCATACAACTTGCCTTCTTCGCTCTGGAGAAGGCTTTCGATCATTATGTGCGAGAACAAAACTTTCCGGAACACCTGATCTCTCTTTTGAAGTAAGTGTACGATGGGCCCAAGAAAACTTGACATGCACTCCTTACGCTCCATCAAGAGCAATCAATAATTGTCACGGTTGGGGTATACCAGGGACCAGGTCTGAGCTCGTTCCTTTTCCTATTAATGCTGGATGTCATCACAAAAAGACTCCTACAGGGATCATGGAGGACCAACCTTTACGCTGATTACACCGTACTGATAACGGAGAGTAGAGAGGAAAATTAGGAAAAGCTGCAAAGGTGGCTAAAAATCCAGGCGGCGTATGGGCTTCAGCTGAACAGGAGAAAAACCAAGTTTCTCAACTCGGAGGAGTGTCTAGAGCCGTTCGTGGGCTACCTGTGAAAAAAAAAGATCGAGAAAGTCCAAGAGTTCCGGTACTTGAGAAGTGACCTAACTGCTGACGATAGTGTGGGTCAGGCTGTGAAGGCTCGGATCAACGCTGCGCTGTGGGCGAAATGAGATGAGCTCATTGATATCCGCTGCCACCGACGATGCTCGATAGCGATAAAAGGAAAGGTATACCGGACAGTGGTGAGACACACCATCCCACATAGAAGGCAGTGGAGTTCGAGGCTCAAAGAAGGCGGCCAAGGGCAGCCTCAAAGAAGAGGTAGCGAGACGTGATCAAGAGGAAGCTTGCTGAGCTTAAGGTGACAGCGGAAGATGCTTCAAACGATGTTCCCAAAGCCACTATCAGCAGTATTCGAGATTTCGGAGATTGTCGCTACGCACGATCACCCTCACTCTAGCTTGAACTGCTTGCTCATGATGTGCGTTTTACTCTACCGGACCTCCAAACTTTATGCTCGTAAATTCTTCTATTCAGGGATTCTCCAGCGGTTTCTTATCAAGGTCAGGTTGACGAACGTAGTGTAATCTACAGCAGGTCCTGAGCGCCCTCAGGAGATTCTGACCTAGATGGTCAGCAGCGGAAAGGCAAGACATAACGTGAGAGAGTGGGTAGTTGCAGTGAGCTACCGCTTCACCCTTTCTAATCTTTTTGAGGCTCTTAGGAGTCTTGAAGCGATGTTGTAGTGTTTCAGTGGGTACTATTTCACCAAAAAGATAAGTTTGTAGAATGCTAATAAATCAAAAGAAAATGGATTCGCAAACCTCAAAAAAGACGTCTTGACTGCAAAAACCTCCCCCTCCCCCCTTCCTAGAAATTCGAACCATGCTCTTTTGCACATAAAGGGTCATATTTACTTCTTCTGTAAGCTGAGTAATAGAACACACATGTCATTTGGGTTCGCTTACATCAAATGGTCACTCAAAACCATCTTCTTGGCTGCATTCATAGAACCATTCGATTGACAGATTCGGAAGGCAGATTTGATATCAGCATCTGAAAACACATGTTGCGATATATGCCTCATTTCGAGAGTCACTTCAACTTGGGATTTTTCTCTGGGAAGACTTTTTATACATATGGTAAAAGTGGCCTGCTTTCTAGTTCTGGGCACTATTGTCGGCTGTCTGTTCCCGTTATGGCCGATTTGGCTTCGTCAAGGAGTCTATTACTTGTCACTTGCTGGAATTTCGCTTTTCGGAGCCATCGTAGTGGTTGCCATTCGTAAGCATTCAGGATATTTTTTTTTTCAATGCTGGCCGATATTTATATCAGGTTCGTAACAAGGTCTTGAGCTATTTGGCTTCCTTGATAACAAGGTCTTGAGCTGTTTGGCTTTCTTTCTTTTTTCTATTCAACTATGGGAAAATTTACTAAAAGTTCATACACNGTCCTCACTCACTACCGTTTTCTTCTATCGGCCAGGTTAGCAATCCCCGTGCTACAGGACTAGAGTGATTTCAGGCCAAGGAAGCTGATCATTCTTACAACATTTTCAACCTTGGTAAACTTTCTCTTGGCTAGGAACGTCGAATGAATAGCATTCAGAAGGAACGATGGCAATGAAATGGGGTGGGCGAGGAGCCGTGCCCCAATCGAGCCTCTCCAATTTCACGTGAATCATTTCGGCTATATGGGGTGTTGCGTTTTCGTGGAGTACAGAAGGCCTTTTTTCTCGGACAGTGCTCCCTAATTTCTAAGCTGATTGGTGTATGTGTTGTCGGTGACAGTTTTGCCTTGCACGAGCATTTTGCGATACGAAATACCTCGCGGATTTCGGAAATGATTTGGCAAAGAAATAATTTCTTGGAGTGGAGGTTCGATTTGGCCTGCTGTAACTGGCTTCTCCTCAAGAAAATCTTACGGCAGAACTTGTGTCAGAATCGTATAAGACTGGGTTCCTTCCCACTCCCGTATCTACCAAAATTTCTTGGTGCGGGTGGAGAATGAGAAGCTGGCAAGTGGATACTAGGATGTATCGCTAACGGTCAAGATAAGGATCTAGTGTCGGCTTTTTTCTGCTTCTTTTGTCAAGACTTCGATTGCTTGTCTCCGGGGGATGTGCGTTCGAGGATACGCGCGGCAACTTGCGAGGCGAATTTCATGATGATTTGTGTGACTCTGACGCCAACTTTCGTGGCACAAACTCAAAATAGGGTAGTATAGTAGAGTCAGATGATCCTTCGGATCTACTCTACTTCAAATTTGGGCCCCAATGATAGGCGCCAAAGTCGTTCAAATCGTTACGAACTTCGCCGCGCGCATCCTCGGACGCACGTTCGTGCGCATACCCCTTATCTCCAGATCCTCTTTCTTTGACAGCAACGTTGCAAAGAGCAGCAATCATGGTTGAAGGCACGCACAGCTCACGGTAGAAAAACGGATTTCGAGATATCCTCCTTAGGATGATTCACAGAATTTTCATACCCCCACCTCCAAATACCATGAGAGGCCGCATCAGCCAGGGTGGCAGCCTTAAGATTTCATAAAGGCTCTAAGGGTTCAAAGGCGGAATCGGCCGTATGCTAAATGCAAGGGCGGACGAGGCTACAGCATTAACAGAAAACGCCCTTTTGGATATACAAAGCACTCGTGACCCATGGCGACAGTGGAACGCACTTCTGGACATTTTTCGCCTTGTGTAGTCAGATATTTACGCTATCGCAGCAACTGAAATCTCATTCAAATGCCCTTATCTTGTCATTTCCGTCAGGGTCACCTCGCACAACCTCTATTTTCTCACTTTTAGATCGCCTTATTTTAAAACTTTTTTTTTCTTTTCTCGCCTACTTCACCATAATTGCATAGTTCTCCCCCAACACTTCCGCTTTGCAACCTAAAAGTGTACATCAAAATTATAGTGAACTGCTTTTTAGAAAGCAACCTGGCTATGCTCACCTATCAAGAAATTTTACAACTGCATCGTGATAAATATAGTATCGATCGAGAATCCAGAATTCTGAAACTCTCAACAAATTAGCTCTCATATAAAACCAACCTCATATAAATTAGTGAAGGATAAGAATTTTATGAATCTTGCATGTTATTATTGTATGTCGTGATGCATGGCTTGCCTATATGTTTCATATCTTTGTTATAGTGCGCACAATTCTCTTTGGCATCATTTGGCTCGGCTCCATGGGACAACACAAGCTTTGGATTCTCCCCAACCTGACTGAGGTCAACAATGCATTTTAATCGTGAAAAGTTCTAGTGAAAAACTAAAAGGTCGTGACATGAGTTTTATTTAGGACTGTGGTTTCTTTGAGTCATTCCAACCGTGGTACACGTATGAGTACTGTCCGCGTAACGAGAAGAAGAATAAGGATGGGAAGAAGGCGAAACAAAAGAAAGCTAAAGACAGTGGTAAGCACATTCGTGGTAGCGCCGGCATACTATGGCTATATAACGCTGTGCTTTTGTATATCTAAAAATGATCTCTAGATGACGAAAAAGAAAATCAGCCTGAAGGTGATGAAGATTCGGGCGAGAAGGATAATGTCAGTCAAGGTAGTCAGTCCGGTGAGCCGTCAGGCAGTGAGGTGAGTTATACATTTCACTGATCATGAAGTAACTGAAAGATATGTTCGAAATCTTTTTGCATTTACATTGAAGCTTTGATTTAATCGACGAGAATTTAGCATCGTCTTCTATGACAACTGCTAACCATAGAAAAGTTTGCCTTAGGTGTTCCGCTTCGACTGCTTAAAAAATGGACAGTGAGGAGTGTCTGTTATATATGATGACTGACATTGGTTCGTATGATTAAGAGGAGAAACGGACTGATTCTTGCTTTTCTCGTCTTCTCTTTCGAGTTAGCCTAAGACTTTTTTTTTNTTTTTTTTTAGATTTTTTTTAAAGATTTTTGTCTCTCTCTATATAGGCGGATGGAAGCTGTATCCCACTGCACAGTAGGCCGTTAGGTCATTATGAATTGGGGAATGTGTTGGTTAACTGTTGCTTCCCTATTAGTAATTGTCAGGTTAGACAGCATCTTATGTGCTGCTGTTGCTCCCGTTCTATTTCAGTTGTGTAGGAAATACTATTTTGGCAGTCGCCCTTTTGTCGTTGAAGTAGGTCTAGCTCTCATCCTTCATCATCGGAGACAAAACACCGCTATCTCGTTTGATGTGCTATTAAAATGATAATTACGTAATCGCCCATTTTTTCGAGTACTTCAAACATCATTCCAGATGATACCACTTTTATCATGGTAGAGAGACTGGTGGAGACTAAAATTCACAATAGTGATCCAGCAGATGTCGTTCTGGCGTTCCTCAAAGATAGTGAACATTCTGACCGTTTGAAACATCTTGGTTTTGTCAAAAAGCTGATACGTCAACTCTCTTCCTTTCCGTAACTGGTTGGAATGCACGATTGACCCTTCATTCTACTTTTCAGTTCTAATTATTTATTTTTGGCTACAAATTTTTCAAGAGGAACTTTCCCAATTTGCACGCACCTGAAGTTCGTCACTTGGCACGCACGCTTATCACTTACTGTTAGACAAGCTCCATCTCTTGCTTTTCATTACATGGCCTTCCATTGAGAATTCAACGCCTGTCTTTATTGGGCCTACCGGCTCCCTGATTTTTCTCAAACTATCACCTTGGTTAGCCAATCGGAGCCTTTATAAGTCTTCAGCATTCCCTAAGCCTAGCCTAATATTGTGATGTTGAATGATGATGGCAACTCTGTCAGAAGTTCATATTCGCAGCATTATTCACGCAATTACTTATTTACAGGGTGGCTGAAAAGTATAGGACGCCACATTCGTAATCGTAACTTCAAAGATAGAGGCCAGAGAGACAAATAAACTTAATGAGGAATAGATTAGAATTACAATATCACTTAGGACAGCAGGTGTTCAAAGTTCAATTCTTTTGCTCTTACACAGGCCTACATACACTCGATGACTGAATTGACCGTACGCCGCAGGTAGTCGACGTCGGTATTGTC